AATATAATTACTGAAATTGAGAAATATAAGATTTCTTCCATAGAAATATTTGTGGCAATTTCATTAAATTACAATTAATAAAATATGAAATATATTTAAAGAAATGAAATTATTAAATTAAAAAAAAAACATGAATATTTCTAATCATACATACACTTATGCACTATAATAATCATGCAAAATTTAAATGCTACTTTTTAAATTTTTAAATATATTTTTTAATTATAAATCTATCAATATAATTTATAATTAATGAAATTAAATTATAGAACTTTCCTATTTACATATTAATAAATATTATGTGTATATACAATGAATTATACAATCATATAAGAAAATGCATCGGATTATAGTTTAAATTTATTCATACAAAATTTAGAATTTATATATTTTTTATAAAACTAATCATATGTTAATGTTAATGTTAATAATAATAATAAGAATTATAAAATCAGAATTATAAATTAAGTATTAGGGTACTAATTAATCTATATTATATTATATTATATTATATTATATTATATTATATTATATTATATTATATTATATTATATTATATTATATTATATTATTATTATTATTATTATTATTATTATTATTATTATTATTATTATTATTATTATTATTATATAAAAACAAAATCATCCCTTTTCAAAAAAAATAAAAAAAATCATCCTATTTCATTTCCCCGAACAAAATCATCCCTTTTCAAAAAAAAATAAAAAAAATCATCCTATTTCATTTCCCCGCCCAAATTTTTGTAGTAAAACTTATTTGGTAAGTAAATGTCAAATGAAAATTAAATAAAATCTATTAGTTGGTAATATTGCATAATTGGTAATATTATATATGGTATTATATTCTATAATATAATTGATAATATTATTATTCAAGTATAATACAAATTCTATGTAATAATGTAATAATAATAAAATAAAAATTAAATTAAAATAATAAAAATAACAAAATAATAATAATAATAACAGGAATGAATTCCATTTTTGGTCCTACTCTTTTTGGACTAAATCTGGAAAGACCCTAATAAGAGTAGGACCAAAAATGGAATTTACTCTAATAACAGCAAATGTAATAATTCAAACAAAACTATATACAAAATAAAATTAAAATAAAAAAATAAAAATAAAAATAAAAATAAAAATAAAGGAAGAAGACATAAGGGGGCATTTACAAACTCCTCTACGAGCTCTTAAACTCCTCTATATAAGAGGGGCAATTTACAAACATATAATTGTTTGTCCATCAATTAGGGCAAGTATTGAGAAGTCCAAAGACTTTTATTTTTTTATTTTTTTATTTTTTATTTTAGTACTATTGACCTGACAAATTATGCTCTGGATCTGTGTCCACCTTCAAGGTAGACACGGTTCAAAAATTGTTCATAATTATTACTCCGTAATATATAGTTCAAAAATTATGAACATATAGTTCTATAATTATGAACATAATGTTATGAACATAATTATGAACATATAGTTATGTAATTATGAATATAGAGATTCAATAATTGTGAATATGAAGTTAAAAAAATTATGCATAAATATCTTTATAATATGAACATATAGTTCAGTAACTATGAACATAGAGTTCTGTAATTATGAATATAGAGTCCAATACTTATGAATATGAAGTTCAAAAATTATGAATATATAGCTTTATAATAATGAACATATAGTTTAGTACTTATAAACATAGAACTGTGTCCACCTTGCAAGGTGGACACGGTTCCACAGCATAACTATTCGATTGACCCTGTTATATGTAAACTTTCTCAACTTATTGAAGCCCAACGTGTCAAAAGACTCTTATTTAAAAAACCTTATCTTAATGGCTTCTTATTTTAGTTTTTTTTTTTTAATTTATTAGGGGGTTTGAGAAAGATTAACCCAAAATGTATATGAGTTGTTTTAGTTTTTAGCAGTTTGGAGCAAATTTCTAAGTTATTAAATAATATTTTTGGGGTTTTGATTAAATATAAAATGTTAAACAGACGAATTTGTTAAAATTTTGACGAATTTGCCAAATAATCAAATTACAATAACAACAACAACAACAACAACAATAATAAACCTTATCTTAGTGACTTCTTATTTTAGTTTTTTTTTTTTAATTTATTAGGGGATTTGGGAAAGATTAACCCAAAATGTAGATGTGTTGTTTGAGTTTTTAGCAGTTTAGAGCAAATTACTAAGTTATTAAATAATATTTTTAGTTTTTTGATTAAAGATAAATTGTTAAAATGGTTAATTTGTTAAAATTTTGGTGAATTTCTCAATCTCAATTTTTTTTAAAATTGTCAATAATCAAATAATAATAATAATAATAATAATAATAATAATAATAATAATAATAATTTGTTAAAATTTTGGTGAATTTCTCAATCTCAATTTTTTTTAAATCGTCAATATTCAAATAATAATAATAATAATAATAATAATAATAATAATAATAATAATAATCCAAACAAAATGATTACAAAATAAAATTAAAATTAGAAAAAAATAAGAAGAATGATGTGAAATCATTTTAATCTCACATTGAAAATGTTTGGAAAGAGGAACATAATTGCTTGCCCATCAATGTGGGCAAGTAGTGAGAAGTCCAAAGTTTTTTTTTTCCCCCTTTTTGTTTAGAAGTAAAGGAAAATTAAAAATAGAAAGAAAATATTTCAAATAATATTTTACATCACCAAGTAGTAAAGTCATATTTTAAAAATAGTAAATGTAAATTAAAAATAGAACGAAAATATTTCATTAATAATATTCTACATCATCAAATTAAAATGTAACGAAAATTATGTAAAAATATCAATACATCTATATTCTAATTGACTAATTGACTGAAAAAAAATAATTGACTGAAAATGAATCTAATATTGCTAATCGACTGAAAATATAAAAGAAAATGAATATTAATAATTGACTGCAAATAAAAAATGCTCCATAATTGACTAAAAAAAAAAAAGAAATGGTCAGACTATTGCATTTTAATTAAAAATGGAATGAAAATTAAAAATTGGAGAAAAATATTTCAATAATAATATTCTATATTATCAATAGTAAATGCACATTTTAAACAATAGTAAAGGTAAATTAAAAATGAAACGGAAATATTGCAATAATAATATCTACATCATCAATTAAAAATGGAACAAAAATTAGGTAAAAATATCACTACATTTGATATTCTAATTGATTAATTGACTGAAAATAAAAAAGAATAATTGGCTTAAAATGAATTCGATATCACTAATTGACTAAAAATATAAAATGATAACTAATTGAGTAATATTCTACCATTATATATTTTAATCCAAGTAATTCGTCTTGATGGATTGAAGGTGTTAGCTCTAGACGAAGATGAACAAGATTGTGTTGTTACTACCAATATTGTCTACAAAGAGGTTTCAATAATGTGTAAATATAATCGGTGATATTAATTTTTTTTTTTAAATGAAAAAATTGTTATATATCTAGACAAAAATATATATCTTCCATACAAATGAATAAGGATACCAATTCATTTCTATAACTGAGTTGTTAGAGAACGAGCACATTTGCCTAATTTATGAAAATTCTAAATAATGATAAATAAAATCTTCAAAGTTATAGCACTGTATGCGTACATCTAGACATTAGCTATTAATTTGAGCAATTATTTTCACAAATTCAAGCAATGATAACATCAAAATATATAAACGATCCAAACCATATCTTTAATTGCACTATATAATATTTGATGTTCTAATTTAAATAACTATATATCAATTCATATATTCTTAATATATTACAACAAATTCATTCCGTGCATCGCACGGGTGCAAATACTAGTAAAGAAAAAAATAATTTTATTGAATTTAGATAGGTTTATAGAGTTTAAATATGGAGAAAAAATAGAGTTTAAATAGAGAGAGAAAATGTTCAAAGTTGTTAGAAAGAAAATTTGAACTCTTGGGGTTGATGGTTGGATTTCAACTATTTATATTTTAGAATGAAAAGTCTACAAAAATTCATAACTTTTTGAATACCACATGACTTTTAAAGACTCTTTAAAAATCTTAATCGAATACTACACGACTTTTAAAGACTATTTAAAAATCTTGATTGAATATCGCCTAACTTTTAAAAACTCTCTAAAAGTTTGAATTGAATACCTTCAAACTTTTAAAGTTCTTAAAAGTCTTTAAAACTTTATGAAAGTCATGATTGAATACATCCCCTAATATTGTAAGTTGAGATGTTTATATAAAGGTTAACAAAATTATTTATTGATCTTGGTAAAATTATGACAATCTTCTTTTGAGCTTCCACAACTTGAAAGTGGCATTAGATGGAGTGAAGCCTTTCCTCTTTGTTGATATTATTGGAAAAATAAGGATGAAGTTTTTGTAATTTTCTTGTTTATTTTTTGGTTTATTATTCTTTAAAGCAAACAATAAAAGAATAAAAATTCATGCCCCAAAGCAATAATTTAATGGTTAAGATGTTACACTTTAGATTCCATTCTAATGAAAAGGTGAGAGTTCTAACATTTTAAAATAGGATTAGAGTTGAAACTCGAGAATTGAGATTGAATTTCTTGGACATAAAAATTTATAGTCAAATGGGAACTTAGAAACATGGAAAAAATCAAAAATAAAATAAAATAATCCCTTGGAATTGTAATGCCGTCCCATTTCCAATCCCTTTTTGGTCATCTCACAGCCTCATACCAAATGTCGGATAAATCTCACCCTCCGATCACATGATTACCAATCGACGGTCCACAATCCGTGTTTGACTGCAAAGTACAACATGTGGTAAGTGGGAATGATTGGCCTTCAGTCATACGTTTGACCAGACATTTCTTTATGTTTTTTTGGATTTGAATTTGGAGAGAGAAAGTAAAAAGACAAATGGGAGACAGATATTTCTGAGAAAATTCTTCATCAATTCTCTCTCTTTCTCTGCTGTTATAGCGAGAAGAGAAGAGAAGAGAAGAGAGAGAAAAGCTTTCATCATATTTCTATATTTTTCTGTCCGTTTCTCTTTCTCTCTCCTGCATTCTCTTCTTGAATCTCCATTGCAGACGATTCGGGAAGGTTTTCTTGGTTGAAAGGGAGAGAGAAAGGGGCATCGGAAAACATGAATGTGATGCGTCGTCTCAAGAGCGTTGCTTCTGGCCGCTCTTCAGTTTCAGATCCTGTAAATTCCCTTCCCTCTTTCTTTTCCTTTCATTAATTTTTCTTCTATTTATGTGCATAATATATACACCCTCTCTGTCAAGCACTTGATTTGTGTATGTATATTCCATGTGATTGGATTTGGCTTTTAAATTAATGCTCCCTACTTGTTGCCATAGTTTGATGATTTATACCCAAAAAAAAGAAAGTTCATATTTTGATTAATTTGGAACTATTCTTCCCAAAAAACAAAGTTCATATTTCTATATTATTGCCATGAGATTTGCCGTTATTGAGCTTTTAAAATCATCGGAATAGTGGGACAGATCGAGTCTTGATGGCAATCCTAGCTTGTGTGAGGAAACGGATTGGAATATGTTTCTTAGTGGGTTTTTTTCCCTGGTGATTTATGTTAGATTTCTAATTTGATTCTTGTTGTATCATATATTCATATACAGTCTTGTGAATGCTTGTTTGGTTTATCTGTATCCTAAACTGTTGGCCGGAGGCCGGTAAAGCCCGATGCCCGGGGATTGTTGGGCGGAGTCCGGTAAAGGGCTTAAAAGGTCAAGTCCAACACCCAGCGTCTCGAAAATGTGTGGCGTTATAAGGAAAAAAAGTTGCGTTTTTGCTACTAACATAATGTTTTTGCTCAATTTATTTTCAGCAGGGAGGGGATTCCAGCATAAAGAGAGTGAAGGTTGCACAAGATTTCGATCAAAGGATTGCCGGTAAACCCGAGTCCGAAGAAATATGCACTACTGCTCCTATGCACGAAGCTGCTTCTACGTCTCAAGAAGATGCATCTGGCATATCCTTGGTAGCAAGATCTGAAAAGTCGGGATATGAAGAGCTTCCGAAGGAAATGCACGAAATGAAGATTAAAGATGACAAATCCGATAATCAGAACAACCTAAAGGTGGGTGGTCTGTATGCTTTATTTTGCATGTCCGATGTGTGTATATTGCTTTCTTGCCACTCGTTTAAGTGAATGGATATTTCGGGTGTTTGTGATGAAATGTGGCAAGTTGAAAACTGCAAATTAATAATTTGTATATGCTGTGCAGGATATGGAACCCGTTGTTATTACCGGTAATGGAACAGAAACGGGCCAGATAATAGTAACTACTGTTGGTGGTCGGAATGGAGAACAGAAACAGGTGAACCTCGATTTGAACTGTTCTATGTTGTTGGGCCTTTGGTCCCACTTTACATCTTCGATTTGGGTTTTCTTATGATAGTAGAAATGACATAATACTTGGGTTCTAGGTATTGTCCTATATGGCAGAGCGTGTGGTTGGCACCGGTTCTTTTGGAGTTGTTTTCCAGGTAAAGTAGCGGGGTGCTATTGTATAAAAAGAAGTTTTTGATCCAAGTCTTAGAGTTGTGTTAATTCTTCGATTGCTTTTGCTAAATCTTAGGCTAAATGTCTCGAAAGTGGCGAAGCTGTTGCAATAAAGAAGGTGCTACAAGACAGAAGATACAAGAATAGGGAGCTACAGATTATGCGCATGCTCGAACATCCTAATGTCGTTCAGTTGAAGCATTGCTTCTATTCGACTACCGAGAATAATGAAGTGTTCCTTAACCTTGTCCTTGAGTACGTGCCTGAAACCGTTTACCGAGTTTCTAGACACTATAGCAGAATGAACCAACACATGCCTGTTATATATGTCCAATTGTATACATACCAGGTGAACTTTGGTACTTGGATTATCTTGTGTAGCTATTACTCCCTCCGTCCCCATTTTATGTGTCTGGTTCGATTAACAAGACTTAACTGAAGTTATTTTGAATTCAATCTTTTAAAATATTTAGTATTAGTATATAAAATTTATATATTTAGAAACTACAGTAAAGGGTCAGGTTCCCGTGCGGTCATGCACCATTAGGTACGCATGAATGCACTACAAAGTTTTCGAAAATGCACCATTAGGTACGCATGAATGCACTACAAAGTTTTCGAAAATGCACCATTAGGTGTGGTGCATTTTTTTGGTGTGTGGTGCATTTGTGCATTTCATTCTGGTGCATTTTCGAACACTGTGTGGTATTTATGCATACCTAATGGTGCAATCCCACCGGCCGCCCGGGAAGCCCTGTCCTCATTTGAACGAGTATCCTACAATAAAAGTACTATAAAACACAAATAATCAAATTTAAAAATACTAAAGAAAGTAAGCAAAGAAGAAAGAGTTGATTTCTCCAATGAATTGTAAACAGGACAGGTAAAATGGGACAAAGGGAGTATTATTGTTTAGAACTTTGTCCTTGAGCTTATCTTTCTTTTCATTTCATTTTCTTCTTTCCAGATTTGCCGAGCTCTGAATTATATTCACAATGTAATTGGTGTGTGCCACCGTGACATTAAACCACAGAATCTATTGGTGAGTGTTTATCTTTAACTGTAATGGTTCCACCTTTAAACATCCCGAGATAAAATCTCTTGCAATATGTCTATGCCATTTTTGGATTAAACGTTGTGATGTTTGAATGCCGCAGGTTAATCCCAACAGTCACCAGCTAAAGATTTGCGATTTTGGGAGTGCAAAGATGCTGGTTAGTGATAATAATTGTCGAGTGTTGGATACCCTCTGTTGGTTAATAGTTAGTAAACTTTTATTTGTCTTATTACTGTAGGTGCCTGGTGAACCGAATATATCGTACATTTGTTCTCGCTACTATAGAGCGCCCGAATTGATCTTTGGAGCTACAGAATATACCACGGCAATTGATGTGTGGTCTGTTGGTTGTGTTATGGCTGAGCTACTTCTCGGGCATGTGAGTTAATTTTGTCGATTTACTTTCTTGTGTGCTCTATATGATGGAATCTGGACATCATTACCAATTTACCCTTGGTATAAATGGATTGTTGCATTGCTTGCAGCCTCTCTTTCCGGGAGAAAGTGGTGTTGATCAACTAGTTGAGATCATTAAGGTATGTTGTCTAAATGCTTTGCACTTATCGTATATTTTAATTATTCTATTAGGCGTGGGCTTGTTCTGATAGTGTTTTGATGCACAATTAGATTCTCGGGACACCAACTAGGGAGGAGATTAAGTGTATGAATCCGAACTACACGGAATTCAAGTTCCCTCAAATCAAGGCTCATCCCTGGCACAAGGTTCATTCTCTTATTCCCTCGGATTCTGAAATGCTAAACGATCCCCGAAAGGGATGTGTTTAATAAACGATTCTTATTTTTTCAGGTTTTCCATAAAAGAATGCCTCATGAGGCAGTGGACCTAGTTTCGAGATTGCTCCAGTATTCACCGACTCTGCGCTGTACTGCTGTGAGTGAATGAACGAATGAATGATATACTCTTACTGCCCTATTTGTTTTGAAAAATCGGAACTTTTTTTTTTTTCTTTTATTTCAATTGTTTCCAGTTCGAAAGCCCTATTTGTTTTTAAAAATCTATTTTGTTTTTCCATTGTTTCTAGTTGGAAGCTTGTGCACACCCGTTCTTCGATGCTCTAAGGGACCCAAATGCAAGCTTGCCAAATGGGAGACCTCTGCCGCCTCTATTTAACTTTACCCCTCAAGGTCTGCAGTTGTCTGTTTACGATTTTCTGTCTTATGGTATACATTTTGGTCATTGTTGTAAAAATAGGCGCTAGGCGCCCCTAGGCCGAGGGGATTTTACCCTTAGGCGGGCATTAATCGGCCTAGGTGCCCGAGTCGGACAACTCGGCTCCCAACTGTGAGCATATAATATATATAAACATAAATGTGCAATCCAACTATCAGCTTAGGCTTTTAGTTGAGATGGAGCACATGCTTCAATTTGGTATAGCCATGCCAAAGGTCATGGGTTTGAATCTCAGTGCCACGCTTGGAGCACATGCTTCAATTCCGACTAGTCACTGCTGTGTTTTTTATTACTCCTCGCTCGACTAGCGCCTAGTGCCTTTTACAACATTGTTTTTGCTAATTGAGCCAAGCTTTATGCAGAACTCTCTGGTGTACCTGATGAACTGCGGAACCGCCTTATTCCCGAGCATGCAAGGAAATGAACTTTTGAAGAGGGTGGTTTATTTAGGCTCTGTAAAGGTTAGACCCGCCAGCCAGTATGATCACTGCTATTTCGCCCCGGTAAAGGAGGATGCTTTCCTCCATTTTTTAAAAATCTAGTTGAGAAGAAAGGTGAAGGCAAGTTGATCCATCAAAGCATTTTTTATTTCTTATTTTTTGGGGAATTTGCTGGCAAGACTTTGAAGCAAACGTGAAAGGGATTGCTTGGCAATGAGATATTCTTATATTTATTCGTTAGTTTATGTGTAATTATTTATGGGATGTTAGATCAGCGTTTTGTAGCAGTGTTTAGTTTGTGGGGGTGTTTGTTTGCCTTCAAACTGGACATAGTCATAGCCAGATATATTTTGCCGTAGGATTATTACCATTTTGTTTGTTCCCACTTTACTCGTCTCATAGGAATGTGAAGAATCTTTCATTTTTTTTTTTCATTATTGAACGAACTATGAATATTATTGAACGAACTATGAAGTTTCACTTTTGGTCTTTTAGTTAAACTATTGATATTGATTTTGTTGGTGTATATTGACTCGGAGTGGCAACCGGTAAATACGAATGTGAACGAAGGAGTTGGATACGTGAAATTTTAATTACGGACGGAAGTTGGAGACGTAAAGGGTGTGTTTGGAAATTTGAAAATCATTTTTCGGGTTTTTAATGTTTGAAAAGAAGGAAAATTTAAAGTCAATTAAAAATGAGGCATTGGTCAATGGAAAATGGATTTGTTTTTTGAAAAACAACTTTCCCTTTTCTAAAGGAGAAGTCATTTTCGGATGTTGATTTCTTCATTTTCTTTACTTTCCTTGGTTTCTTCTTCATCTTCTGATTTTGGAAACTAGTGCTTGTTGGTTTCCGGTGGAGATTTGGTTTCCATTAGTAATCAAAGTTTTTTTTTTTTTTTTTTTTCTTTTTAATAAAAAATCCATTTGATTTCCGTGCAGAAACTATACATGGTTTCTGTATCGAAAACCAGACATGGTGTCTGTATTGAAAATCATGATATGGTTTTCGGTGAAAACTCAGTGATGTAAAACTCGGCCGCCTAGCCGCCTAGGCGCCCGCCTAGGCGCTAGGCGGCCACTTACCTTGGAGTTTTGGCCTATAGGCGGCCAAAACTCGGTCGGCCGCCTAGGCGGCCGCTAGGCGGCCTAGGCGGTCAAACTCGGCCGAGTCGGTCAAACTCGGCCGAGTCGGTCAACTCGGCCAACTCGGCCGAGTCGACCGATTTCGTCCGATTTTGACCGTTTTTGACCAATTTTGACCGATTTTGTCTGATTTTGACCGATTTTGACCGATGTCGTCTTTCATTAATTATTGATTTTAATATTATTATGACATTATGACTTATAAATTATCATTATTTCATTTATTTAGATGTGTTATTTGAGTGAACGTTGAAAACAACCTCATTATAATTGTCGAACTACAAGTCTGTCACTATTTTTTTTAATTTTTTTGGTGCCCGCCTAGCCCCGCCTAGAATCCGCCTAGGCGCCGCCTAGACCGCCTAGGCGCTAGGCGCTGCCCGGCCGCCCGACTAGCGCCTAGCGCCTACTGCAACCTTGTGAAAACTAGATCTTGGTTTTTGCAGGAAACCAAGATCTATTTTTTTTAAAAAAAAAATATTGCTTATTTTTTAATATTATAGGATTATATTGAAAATTATTTTAGTATTATTATTATTATAAATATTTTTATATTCTAAATAAAATAATTAAAATATTTATTTATACAATTCTACTCATTTTTTCAGAAAATGAATCAAACACACCAATATAGTTTTTCAGAATGCAATTAAATACCAGAAAGAAAAATGTTTTCCAGAAAATGATTCATTTTCAAAAAACATTGTTTAGAAGTCATTTTCTTGCTTTCCAAACGGACCCTAAATACACTGTCAATTTGTACACAAACGACATAGTGTATTGAATATGAATATTATTCGATTCTTCCAAAAGGCTGAACCCCAACCCTAAGAGCCCCACACTCCGACCTGACAGAGCATTTGGGAGGATGAATATTATTCGATTGATTCACAAGGGAAATAATCATGAGAATATTATAGAAGGAATCATACTCTTTGTGTTCAATTGAATCTAGTAGAAAAAAGAATATCATTTAAATAATTAAAATTTCCTTATTCAAAATAAAATGCATACAAATATATACTTACTCACCATAAAATAACAAAGTACAATAATAATTATTCTATTGTTGTTTTATTCTTGAATCTCTTTTTGTTTAGAAGGGGAAATGGTCAAATAGGCCCTATAACTTCACTTGAAAAGTCAATTAAGTCCATAAATATTTTAAAGTTGTAATTAAACTCATTAACATTGAATTTTGGTGCAATGAAGTTCAAAAATCGATTAGTGACATGTTGGCGAACGGCGATCGATCACCGGTCGCGCAGAAGGAAGGCGACACTGGGTCGCCTTCTCTGACGAGAAGGTGACCCAACTTCGCATTCCCAAATCATGTCATTTTTTGGAATAAATATGTAAAATCATTCATTTTCAAAAGACGATTGTGTAAATAGTAAAACTTGATATAGAGCACTTGTGCCCTAGGTTTTACACATTTATGTCGATCACTTATTTATGAAAATTCTACTTGTTATGAGTGCATAATCAATGAAAGTGTGTAAAAATAGAAGGACATGCATAAGAAAGCATGCAAAAAGTGTGTTTAATTCAAATTGGCTCATTACCTTAGAAGTTGTTGGATATTGAAAACTTTAAGAGAACAAGAGTTGCATCCCAAGATTTTTTGGAATTAAAGAAAAAAAAATCATACAATTCTAGCAACACTTCTCAAATTGGAAGTTATAGCAACACTTCTCTATGGTCATGCATGGCATTGACTTACATCTCTCATGCATTGAGTAGTTCACATAGATTTTTTTTTTTTTTTTTTACTTATCTCTTGATTACGGTGTACTATTTCACTTAGCAGTTTCATAAATCTGGTCTCAATCTCAGTAATGTTTTTCCCTCTGGCCATTGTGAAGTCCTCAAACTTCTTCATGTCGATGGTTAGTTTGATTTTCATCTTCTGTTAATCTCCTTCGTCAATCTGTACTAAAATTTCTCATATTTGCATCGCACATTGACGCTTAGATATTATTGGAAAAATAGTGTCATCAACTACTTTGAAGATGATATCTTTAGCAATGTTATCGAGATTGTTCATCTTTTTATCTTCAGGGGTCCATTCTTGCCTTAGCTTTGGAATGTATCTAAGAGTTCTTTAACAATTTGGTTGGTGGCTGTGTTGACCATCATGATCTCCACAGGACTGCTCATGATAACTTTCCACATCTCATCATGCAACGCCAGAAAGATGAGCTTGCATTTAGATTTTTCAATCATCAAATTGATCAATACTAAATATAAGGTGCTTAGAGAGAGAATCTTTCATTTTGAGAAAAATAATGTGCCAATAAAATTTTTCAAAATAAAATTCAAATGAGCTTGAATTTAGAAAGTAGAGTTTCTAAAACACATCAAAAATTTAATCTTAACTTCTTTTTAATGTTATGGCACATTTTGTCTTGTTAAAAGTTACGTTTTGAGTTCGAATGAAACAAGTAATAAATGTTGCATAATGTAAATGAGAATAGAAATTTTATAGTGGTTCAGTCAACTCGCCTTACTCCACCCTTCTCCTAGAATTTTTTATGATGTTTCTTTTAGTATTTTACTCCAGTATAGGTGGAGAGGGTTTGTGCTTTGATCACTAAACCATCCACAAGCCTCCGTGTTTCACAAGCTACACTTGTTATCCTTATCTTTCTACTTTATTAAGTAGAGATCTTAGATTTGAACACAGGAAGGTTGTTCTTCCCCAACTGATGACTGAGATTGCTAGAGTTTTCTCTTGATCTTGAATGATTTGTAATTATCTCTCACTGGTGGTCAACTTGATTCACTTAAAAGCAGTTTTGAGCACTTGTAAAATTTCTTAAAATGACCAACACCTGCTTCAATTTTGAATGAAGGTATTTATCTAAGATTTTTCATAATAATATATATTATATATTATGGCCTTAATTACGTAGTTCAAGTTCACTAGGCTTACTAAGTAGTTTGGTTGGACTGAATAGCTAGAAGTTGTTAGTCAATCAGACTCTGATAGATGGGATACATGATATTCATTATATAGCACATTCAGTTACTGTACTCATATTGCTCAGTAGACACCAATGCACCATCTGTGGTTCTGAGTCAAATATGAGACAATAATGGCTAACGGTCTACCGTTCAAGAGGCAACAAGACATCAACTGTGGCTGGAGATCAACATTGCTTCCACCTCCGCTACTACGAGGTTAGGTTTCTCATAGATTATTATTCAGTATCGTTAGATTATTTAGATCTAATAATTTATAGACATCTTGAATTTTGTCCGCTTAAGGGAAGCAAATTTCAAATCAAATGTCATTATCTAACGTGCAATGACCAGTGATTGCCTTGTTAGATTTTCCAGCCGTTGCATGACTTTTAGCTCCTAACACTTAGCTTTTTAATCATTTCTTTGTTTTGGCTATATTAGGAAAATCTACCTTGGGATGTGTACTTAGGATTTTAAGAACCTAGATAACATTCTTCTCGCTAGCCGTGCGGTTGAGACTGATCACTATATTGTTAGCAATTGTGCTTATTGTAGACTATTTACCCGGATGGTGACTTGATTACTTTGCGGCATGATTGTTCGGAATCAACTTGGCATTCAACCTTCCGAACAACCTTTTGGATTTGACCATATAACAAAGGTCAATCCTTTAGTGTAATTAACTTTTGGTTAATTTTACCTTTCGGTTCCAATGACTACCTGGTGTAAGGTTTGGCCCTTCTACATTTCAATCTTGAACCTTCATGGTCTTCATTTCTTCAACTCTCCGATCTTCAAATCTTGTACCTTCCAGCTGTAAGTCTATAACCATTCGTTAATTTGAACTTTTGACTTTCCTAAAGCTACCTTTCGAATTGAACTACTATCTGGGTAGTATAATTCATTCGTAAGTGTAATCTTTCGGATGTTATAGGTGAAGAAAGCCTAAGTCTAGAAAATAAAATTTTGGGGACCTCATTTTCTAATTTGTTTGGTTTTATCAAAATATAAATTACAATGTTCCTAATAATATACGATCCAATGAGTCTTCATCAAGTAGCGTCATGTCAGCAAGCACTCAGCCACCCTCCAATTTTTGTTACAAGATATTTCCTTTCATGAGTTGAGCCACATATGACCCAATGAAGACGTCAACAATGGATTTGTTGATTTGATTATTGAGCATCGATGCCATTACTGTTTCCATATGGATTGGGGTTCCGGTGACCATACTCTAAATGCAAAACAAATATGTGCAAATTGACCTTGGAATCCCCTTTCTTTGTCCTATATGGTGTGGGCAAGAAGCTTATGCAAGACTCTAAGATCTTGTCTTGTAAATGTCGTGGCTCTAGATGTTCCTAGATCAAACCTCAAACCTAGAGATACAACTAGGGGTGGGCATTTTCTTTTGAGTAACCCAAACTGATTCGAACTAAACCAAAATGTACTGATTCGATTCAGTTTTGGTTTATTCTTTAAAATCGATTGGTAATGGGTGTTGTAAATCGAACACAGTTCGATTCAGCATTTTTTTTATTTAATTTCTTTGGTAATTTGTGAAAGAAGAGAAAAATATTAATCTAGATATCAATTTTGTTTGTTGTTGTTGTTGTTGTTTTTTTTTTTTTTTTTTTTTTTTGTTTTTTTTTTTTTTTGTTTTGTGTTTTTATACATTAGGTTTCCCAATTTACGTTAGACTAATTCTAAACCCCTAAAACTCTTGTCCAAGAGTTGCTGGGGGAGGTAAATCACGTGTCGCCTCATAATTCTCCAAGTTCCCACCCCTTGCCTGTACATTTTGCACACAACGAGTCTTCATCCGCTAGAGTAAGATTTTAAGGTAATCGGTCGAACCAACTAAACAAGTACGGCGAGGTTAGATATCAATTTTGTTAACAAGTAAGAAAGAAGTATTGACATGGATATTGATTTGCTAAAAAAAAAAACCATTGTTAGAATTCCACATAAGTCAGGTAACTTGCAATTAACCATAAATATAGGTATTAAAAAGAATTGATAGGTCAATTTCATTAAAAAAAGAAAAAAAAAAAGAATAAGGGTCAAATAGGTCACTGAACTGCACACAATATGCAATTAGGCCACTAAACCTAAAAAAAAATTAACAATTGGGTCCCTAAACTAACTAATTTTTTTCAATTTATCCAATTTACTAGTTTTCTCAGTTTTTAACAGGTTACCCCTCCACTTAGGATGCATATGTGACATTTTTTAAAAAAAAATAATTTATTTTAATTTTTTTAAATGTTTAATAAATAAAAACTAAAATAATCTAATTTTCTATTAAACAATCGACTTCCCCTTTAGGTTAATAAAGAGACTATTCGCAGTATTCACGCAGACTTCATCGCACCTCCACCGTAAATCACCATTCGGAACTCACCACACATCACTGCTAAGTTTTCAACCACAATAACTTCCAAAAGGTATGGTTTAGCTTGATAGTTAAAGTACATATAGGTATTCGTGTTTGTTAGTTTATGTTAGGGTTTGGATTGTATGTATTCTGGGATTGGGTTTATGTAAGGGTTTTGTGTAATTTATAAGTTGTATTCCTGAAATATGTATACAATAATGCTGACAAGTTTTTTTTTTTTTTTTTTTTTTACTGAAAAATGTGGTTCTTCTTTGTTGTTTTGATGTTGGATTTTTTTTAAATTTGGCCTGCAAATGGGGTCCATGCTGAAACCTTAATGGGTATGCATCATACTAAAGTTTTTTTAATTTTTTAGAGTATTTAGTTAAATGAATGCTAGATGTCATGTTTCTATTTGTTAAATGGTACTTAGTTTGCTTTATTGTTTGGTAGTACAGTGTAACAGTGTTGTTAAATGGTACTGAGTGTGTTTGGTTGTTTGGTGGTTTAAAGAGGTGTTTTGTTTTTTATTTTTATTTTTTTTGTTTTATTTTTTTTGTTTTTTGTTTTGTTTTGTTTTGTTTTTTTGTTTTTTTTGTTTTTTTTTGTTTTTTTTTTTTTTTTTTTACAGTTCTAAGGCTGAAGTTACCCTTGCAAATATGGTATTGACAAAGTGAGGTGGAAGATGACATGAAATATATGATATTATTTTTCTTTTGTTTTGATGCCAACTGGCTTGCAAATTTGTTGTTTTAGCAAATTTGCAAGCCAGTCTTTTGGCAGTTTTTGCAAGCTAATTGCTTGGCAGCAGTTGCCGAGCAGTTGACTTTTTATTTTTTATTTTTTATTTCTTTTATTATTATTTTATTATTATATTTATAATATAATATGAATGTTGGATCTATTTTTTAGGGTGAGATGAATTTGTAAGGATGTAGTGTGAATAGTAGATGATTTGCAAATGGGATGATGTGGAAGTGGGACTCATTTTTGAGAGCGGGAGAGTTTTGCAGGGATAATGTTAGCCTAACTTCTTTACTGCACTGTAATATATAGTTTTTAATATTACCATAGTTATTGCAGACATGTGTGCAAGTGTTGAGTTAGTAGTCCACCATGGTGGAAATTTTGTAAGAAATCCCGAATTCAAGTATATCAATGGTGAGGTTAATAGGATACAAATTGACCAAGATCTTATTTCATACCCCCATTTAGCAAAATATATAAAAGATGGGCAGTATGAAAATATGCAAAGTTTATACTACAAAGCAACCCATGAGCCTCTAAGATAACTCAAAGTTCTGTGGAATGATGAAAGTACTTTGGACCTTATTAGTTTGACAAAAAAAATGGAAGAAATGTGGCATCTATGTACATCATGGAATTGATGAACCTGAAGTGATTCCAGAATTGTTATTACTTGTACCTGAGAATGTTTATGAACGACATGTAGCTGAGAATGTGGATCAAGGTCAGGAGATGGATCATGTTGTTGAGGTTCCACCTGAAGATGATTTTGAAATTAATTATGAAGCTGAATATGAGATGGATAGTGAACATGATGAGGATGATAATGGATGGGTTACACAAGATAATGAGATTGGAAATAACTCTTGGTTAGATGTTGGGCTGGATGCATAAAAAAGGATAACATGGAAGAAAATGATGACAAACATGGAAATGATAAGGGAAAGGGTAAGTCAAAGGCAAAGAATACATATAAAGCTAAGTTTACAAGATCAAATCAGAATGAAGTTGAGGGAAACAAAGGATGTGTTGATTATGGAAGTGATAAGTACTATTATGACTCCGAAGATCCACCAACTTGTGATTCAGAAGACGATGTTGAAAGGGAAGCCAACAGATGCTGCTTTCTTACACTTTGTAATATGTTTTTTTTTTTTTTTTTTTGTTTCTGATTTTGTAGGGTTTGGTTAGTGTCATTCAACAATTGCTTCCTAATGCGGAGCGTAGAAATTGCGCTAGACATATCCATGCAAATTGGAGCAAGAAACATAGATGCAAGGTGTTAAAGAGTCTATTTTAGATGTGTGCTAACTCAACAACTGAGGACAAATTCAAATTCATGGTTGAGCAATTGGAGAAGAACGATGTCCAAGCTAGAGATAATTTGTCCAATTATCCTGCTAAATATTGGTGTAAGGCATTCATTAGGCCAGAATCAAAGTGTGATTCAATTAACAATAATATGTGTGAAGCATTCAATGGAACAATTGTCAAAGCCAATCATCCCATTGTTAAAGGATATAAGAGTTGCCATGATGACAAGAATTGCAACCAAAAGACAAGCTTTGGAGAAATGGCCAGGGAATTTTGGACCAAGATTGATGAAAAAACATAATGGAGAGCATTGGGTGGCACGTTGACTTCAATGGAGATGATGGTTATGAGATCAAGAAAGGGAGACAACAATTTAAAGTTAAGTTACAAGGAAGAAGTTGTTCATGTAGAAGTTGGGATCTAACTGGTATACCCTACCCTCATGCTTTGTGTGCAATTTTTGATAATGGTAGAGATCCAGAAGAATTCATTAATGATTGCTACTCCAAAGAAGTTTACAAAACAATCTATAGTTACACAATTCAACCTTTGAATGGAGAACTTAGTTGGCCTAAAACTAATGATGAAGAAATCCAAGCCCATGCACCGAGGACAATGACGGGTATGGGCCAAAGAAGAAAAGAACTCGTGAGCCTAATGAGCCTCCTGTTGGAAAGATGTCACGACAAGGCAGGATTATGACATGTTCTATATGCAAACAACAAGGTCATTCCAAAACAAATTGTCCAAGTACTAGAGGTCAAGGTCCACCCCCTACTACTACAGCCACAACATCAACTTCTAGGTCTTTTGGTGGTGGATTGGGTATTTATACAAATCCTAATACTGGAGCAGTCATATTCAATGTAAGTCATTTTTTATGAAATATTTCAACTAAGCATTCTAATATTATAATATAATTGTTATGACCTAAACATGTTTGGGAATCGATTTTTTCATTGTATTATGTAATCTGGACAACCAGGAGAACATGTAATTTATCGGGAAAGGAAGAACACAGGTGTTGTGGCTAGGGGCAGACTGTAAAGTCCATATTTAAAGTGCAGATTTTTTGTTGAAAATGTCAGAATGTTATAATATTGAAGTGCAGATTTTATGTGTATTGCTAGAATTTTGGAAACTCATTAGTACTCAGGATGGTCGGTATCTTATGAAAAGTATTTTGGAGTTTGGTTGTTGAATGCAACCTTTTTGTGTTTTGCTATGTACTTAGAAATGGTCTTGTTGCTATAATGGTGTACTTATTTTGTATTCTAACTATTCTAGAACGATGTTGATGCCGATATAGTGACAAGGGGTTTAAATATTTCATTTATCCTTTTTCAAATTAGATATGCTTAAAATGTTTTACTTTTTCCATCTAACAACTGTTTTTTTAAGAAGAAGAAAGAAAGAAAGAAGAAAACAGTGCTACTAATGTATATAGTATTAAAACAATTCAATTACTGCCAAATATACCAATAGTTCAATTAATCGTGGCCAAGAACGTGAATTTTACATTGAAAATCATCGTTAGTTTTTAAAAAATTAGCAAATTAAATTATTTTAATTTTTATTTATTAAACATTAAAAAATTAATTCAAAAATAAATTATTTTTTTTTTAAAATGCCACATATGCATTCTAGGTGGAGGGATAACCTATTAAAAACTGGAAATACTTGTAAATTGGACAAATTGAAAGAAATTAGTTAGTTTAGAGTCCCAATTATTATTTTTTAAGTTCATTGGCCTAATTATATTATTGTGTGCAGTTAAGTGGCCTATTTGACCATTATTCCTTACCAAAAAAAATAGTGGTCTAATTGCACTATTAAAAAAAAAAAAAAAAAAAAAAACCTATACGACGTCGCTTGCTTACTTTATCCGTTACACACTTGCATCTTGGCTTCTGCTTCCAAAGCTTAGCAAATGGCTTCTCTGCTATCTTCTTCGTCTCTCCGCCACTTCCCTTCCAAAACACCATTAACGCCGCCAAGCTACGGCGCCGCTTTCTTTCTCAATCTACCAAAATCTACCCGCCCATGCCGATCTAGCTTCGAATGCTCGGCCGGTCAGACTGGGTTCTTCCAGAAACTCGGTAGACTGATCAAAGAGAAAGCAAAGAACGACGTCGACAAACTTTTCTCTGGATTTTCCAAAACTAGAAATAACTTGGCCGTCATTGACGAGCTCCTCCTCTACTGGAACCTCTCCGACACCGACCGCGTTCTCGATGAGCTCGAAGAGGTGCCATAAAATTCAAGCTCTTTTTCTCTGTGAAATTTTTAGGAGAATAGGAAAAAAAAACTATTATTGGTTACTTAGAAACACCTTGATGTGGAATTCTATTCATTTATAGGCTTAGTGTCTGGGCATTCGTTACTTTGCTCTGCTGTGTTTATATAATTGCATTTTTTGTACTATGGAAGCGTTGAGAGTTGAAATAATTGTCTTTGCCTTTTTACCTTGTGGTTGTAGGCTTTGCTGGTGTCTGATTTTGGGCCAAGGATTACTATAAAGATTGTTGAGAGTTTGCGAGATGATATATATGCTGGCAGGCTAAAAACAGGAAGTGAGATCAAAGTAGTTTCCCCACCATTTTTTTTTTTAAATTTATTTTATTATAATTTCTAATGCTTATCTCTGACCTCAGCTGTTTATAAATGAATATAGATGTGGTAGTTATCCTTTAATCATGTTAAGAGTCCCATGTTGATAAAATAAGAGAGAACGTATGGGTTTATAAGGCTATGAGTTAGACTAACTAATTAATTGGATTCAATGTGGTTTGGCTCGCTATGGGTTAGACTAGCTAATTGATTGAATTCAGTCTTTTAGTATGGTTTGGCCCATATGCATTAACAAATCAAAAGTTTTAAATCTTTGCTTGGGTAATGGGGAAGCAATGAATGACATGGTGAATGCAATTTTGATGGTGTATAGGATGCTTTGAAGAGGAGTATCTTGGAACTTCTAACTAAGGCACCTAAAACAGAGCTTCAACTAGGATTCAGGTTTAAATTGCATCAAAATCTTTGGTTTCTTTAGATTTCATTGAGTTTAGAGTTGAAGTATTGTCATTACAATTTAACAGGAAACCTGCTGTAATCATGATTGTGGGCGTCAATGGAGGTGGGAAGACAACATCTCTTGGTAAGACAAAATGGTTATGTTTGACAACACAATGGCCTAACGATATTGTTGGCAACACAATGCATAGTTTTGTTTTGCTAAAGGAAGAAAAGATGTTTGACAAATATGCTGTGTTTGTTTTCATGTTTTAATCTACTAAACTAGCAATTACCAGGAAAGCATAAATAGAGGGTCATTTCCTTAGAAATAGAAAAACTTTTCCTTAGTTCTACATTGCCCAAGAGACACTCTTGAAAGATGTATTGTGTATAAAGCAAATGGAATCTTCCTTTACCCGAAAGTTTAAACGTTCTAGAAGTATATCAATGGGAGGTGGTTTAAGTGTTTTCTTTCTGATGCAGGAAAGCTGGCCAATAGATTGAAGAACGAAGGAGCAAAGGTTGGATGAGACATTTCCCTTTCCTTTCTTCTCCATTAGATGCATTATGTGCCTTGACATGTTCGTATATTATGAAGGAAGAAAGCCTATAATTGACTTCATTTCTCACTTTTCTTTTGCTTTGAAATTATTGCTAGATATTACTGGCCGCTGGTGATACGTTTAGAGCAGCTGCTAGTGATCAACTGGAGATTTGGGCTGAGAGGACAGGCTGTGAGATTGTCGTTGCTGAGACGGAGAAAGCCAAAGCATCATCAGGTATGGATATAGGTTTTTATATTTTCTTTGTGAATTGCTAACACGAGTTTGAAGTTCTCCCTGAGTAGTTCTTTCACAGGCTGTTAAAAGAGGGAAGGAACAAGGCGTTGATATCGTTTTATGCGACACATCTGGACGTAAGTTGAGTTAGATGCAGTAACTTGTAACTTCCCGACTTACAACATTGAATATTCAGCGAGGTTTTGATTGTTTGAGCAGGTTTGCACACTAATTATAGCCTGATGGAAGAACTGGTTGCATGTAAGAAAACTGTTAGTAAAATTGTTCCCGGGGCACCCAATGTAAGCCATCATCTTTTGTATTCCACTTTATCATATGAGTGCATTCTCTTCTTATTTATGATTAAATAAATTTTTCTATGCTTAAGAGTGGTTGAAGTAGTTACTAGAGAAATGTTTCACGTGATTTGTAGGAAATTTTGCTAGTGCTAGACGGAACAACAGGTTTAAATATGCTCCCACAAGCAAGAGAGTTTAATGAGGTAATGTTTCGGACTTTGTCATTTTTGTATGTTTTGCGTTTTTGTTTATTTGATTGACTTCTTTTTGTGCTGCTTCAGACTTCCTTTTGGAGCTTGCTATTTCAATTTTTTCTTTATATTCAACTATATCATTTATTTTCTGGTTGAAAATCTCGTGTTCCACTTTTGGTCGCCCTGGTGGCAGGCAATAATAGGGATGGCAACGGGGCGGGGGCGGGGGCTGGGAGTTACTCCCCATCCCCGACCCCATCCCTGACGGGGAATTAGAAATAATCCCCATCCTTGTCCCCGGTCAACTCCTAGAAATATTCAAAATACTTAAAAGTCTATGGTGCACATTTGTGGTGTGTGGTGCATTTTGTGGTGCATTTGTGCATTTCATTCAGGTGTGTTTCTGAACACAATATGGTGCATTTGTGCATTTCATTCTGGTGTGTTTCCGAACACAATATGGTGCATTTATGCACACCTAATAGTGCAATCCGCACGGCCGCACGGAAAGCCCTGTCTGCATTTGAACCAGTATCTATATCTATATATAATTTTTTAAATTATAATAATTATTCGGGAACGGGGCGGGGTATCCCCATCCCCGACAGGGAATTACACACATTCCCACAGTCCCCATCCCCGTTTCCCGAAAATTTTCCCCAGGGCGGGCGATCGGGGCAAATTGCCATCCCTAGGAAATATTCATTTTTATCTTTCTCTGTTTATACATGGAGATATGTGTTCCTTATTAAAGTCACCTTTAAAATATTTGAATGTTTGGGCTACCTTCCAATGCTAGGTTGTTGGAGTAACTGGTTTCATATTGACAAAACTTGATGGTTCTGCTAGAGGTGGTTGTGTGGTATAGTTACTGTTCTTTATTCTGCCGTCTTTTAATAAATGACAATTACTATCGGTTCTAAATAAACAACTTTAACTGCTTGTGCTTACAGGTCAGTGTAGTAGATGAGCTAGGTATTCCCGTAAAGTTTGTAGGCGTTGGTGAAGGCATAGATGACCTCCAACCATTCGATGCGGAGACATTTGTTAACGCAATATTCTCGTGAGGGGAGGTAAGTTTGAAGTGCACATGGCATGATTGGATGAGATGAAATGTGCCGAGGTTGCAACCGAGTTGAGGAGATGCCTGCCATTGACCAATAGGATCTTAGTTGCTTCTTTTGAATGAAAGGTTGTTTTGAATATCATTTTCAAAGGCAGGCAGGGAGGCAGCCCCCTGTTGTCATCTTCTTTCCAGTTTACACCTGAGTTGAGTTGAAAATAACCATAGCCAACAGTGTGGAATTTGAATTTTTCAATCAGAGAAATTGAACCCCCCCTTTAGGGGCTAGGGCTGAACCCCCAAAGTGTTTGCTATATAGACATTTTGTTGATTCAATTTCTTTTTGGCTTCAAAAGTTGAGGATTATTAGGGCTAGGGCTGAATCCCCCAATATCATATCTTGTTTTAAGTTTTAAATTGAAACTTTCTTTTTTGTTAGACCACGATGTGTCTTTCTTGAGTAGATTCTAACTATAGGAGACATATTTAAGTCTGTATCATACTAATAATCTCTGTTTGCACTAGACTGATCCAATTAAGGGACAAAGTGCTGGACATATTAAGGATCATTTACTTCATTTCTCTGTTTTTCTATTTCTCCAATTTTCCTTCTCCATTCTTCCATTTTTTCATTTCTTCAGTTTTTTTTAATTTTGATTCCCCATTCCTCCATTTTTTTTTATTTCTCTCTCTATCTCTCTCTCTCTCTCTCTCTCTCTAAATACTAAATAATTTTATACACTAATATTAATAAGTTCAATACACTAATACTAAATAATTTTATAATTTGTTTCATCACATTACAATTATTTCAATCATAATTTGATTAGACAACAAAATACGCAAAACATCATTAAATATAGTCATCCCATATAACATTTGTACAATAAATAATAATAATAATAATAATAATAATAATAATAATAATAATAATAATAATATGTGCGCATAATAATAATAATAATAATAATAATAATAAAAATAAATTAATAACCTATGTGCAATAGAACTTAAGAAGAGAAAAAGAAATTGTGAAGAGCTAAAGCAATTGCACGTCCAGTAGGACTTGAACCGTCGACCTTCCGCATACTTAGAACTATTCATCCATGTTTTTTTTTTTTTTTTAATTTATACATGAAGTTAGAGAATGGAGAGGAGTTAGGCAATTGACAATATTATTTTAGTAAACAAGTTTCCTATTTTCTATTCTCCACTTCTTTAGTTCTATATTTTCCAGAAAATCATCCATTTTTACATTTTGGTAAACAATATCTTAATTTTTCATACAAGAGAGGATTTTAAACTCCTAATACCGTTCAAGGAATGAAAGTGCACGACCACTCATGCGAACCAAACTAATTACTTCAATACTTTGACACTTTGAATTAGTAAGAGATCGATCAATTACTTACCAGAACTCTAGGATTAAAAATGTTATTGTCTTTTTCATTCTTTACCATCAGCATGCTCATATAAAAAGAATGACAAATTAATTGGTTATTTGTTTAGAAGTGGACAAATTACACCACGGACCAGAGTCTACCTTGCATTGTAGACCCTAGTTTAAAAATAACCTTCAGATTCTGTATCTATAGTTGACACATTTTGTACATGCAGTTAATAGTTTCTGTACCTGTAACTATTATATTATATGTCAGCAATTATCAAATTAATTTTTTACATGTACAGAAACTATTAACTGTAGGTACATAATGTGTTAACTGAAGGTATAGAATTTTTGTATCTGGGTTCACAATGCAATATGAATCCTGGTCCATGGTATAACAATGGTTAGAAGTGAGCATGGGCTTGGTACATTGGCCTGAATCACCCCACTCCACTGGATTCTTCTGAAATAGCCTCACTGTGCCACTAGGTTGTTTCTTCACTTCTACATCAATGTTTGTTGTAGAATAATAATAATAATACCTTTAGGCACAACAAATCATGTTTGCCTGTATTAACTGCCACCAAATATTCATGGATTTGAATACTGTACTGTAATCAGTAGGTATAAGATGTACTACATTAATTTTGTCTTAAATACACCAAGAAAATCATCAACCAATAACCACTATAACAAAGTCTCCGTGTTACTTGTGCCCCTATTAACATTCATAAGCCAGTAAGTCCTCAAGTCAGATCATTCAATCCTGTTCGTACACAAAAAAAGATTTACAATTAGGAGTCTCAACTCTCAACTGAACGTCTGAGTCAAACGACGTAAATATATCACTGTGCACTGTGCACTGTGCAGTATGCTATCCAGTGTTGCAGCAAGAATGTGCTTTGCTGTGGTTTTCATCAAATGCCCTCCAAATTACATGCGTTTATTAGACATTCCCAGAGAGTTGATATCTATGAAATGGTTTCTTCAAGACTTCGGTTTGAAGAAAGATCAGTCGCTTTTAGGGTTGACTACTAAGCATACTTAAATTATTTAGCCTAATGAACTTACAATCTATGATGAAGAGATCACAGATCTGAAACAATTGCCATCTGTTCAAGTAGCAAGAATAACAATGGCTAGGTCCCAGCCAAGATGGCTAAGGATACAAATTTGTAACCACAAGGTCACGAGTTCAACTCCCAACTCTTTTGGTTTGAGCCAGTCAATTATGGTTCCTTGTGGTCCTTTGCCGACAAGGGTCACAAGGTGGGGTTTACCCAGTGCACACTGCGGGTTTCCCTTGTCACCAAAAAGAATAACAATGGCTAGGCGTGTAGGCTAGTGTCTTTTAAACTACCCAAATACCCCTCATCTATAGATTAAAAAGACAAAACAAAACATATGAAGAACCACAACTAAGCAAAAAAGGTAAATTAGACAAAATCTGGAAATAGCAACTGTGTATAGTAGCAAAGTTAATCTGCTAGAGCACAACAAACTTACCATGAGCCAGAAGTTGGTGATTCACAAACTTGCCACTGGTGTGTGATACAAGGTTGCCCGAGAAATGTAAACCAATTTCTCGGAGTCCTTCAATCTAAACTCCATAGCAACTACAGTTAAGTTCCTTCCACTCCTAATGACAGACCCATGAACCAACACTTCTGCCTGGAAAACACAGCACTTTTAATTTTGGAGGAACTCAGAAATATGTATAGATATAAAGATGAAATCCTATCCCAATCCAAGAAAGACTAACATTAGGAGGAGCAGCTGAGAGATAAGACATGCTTAATTCTCCAAGAAATAGCTCTTTGTCCTTTCCCGCAACTGTTTTAGCACACGCAATTGCCACTCTCTCAGCTATGGAACCAACTGCACCCCCGTGCATCCCACCAAAAGCATTCTGAAATTGCATTGAATTAAGATATGTGGATGTCAACGCAGACAAAAAAAAAAAAAAGATAGTAGGCAGGTTTCATCTGGTGGATGCATAAAATTTATTCCATTTATATTCTTCTCTCTAATTTACTAGGCAGTTCAATGTGTCCTGGGAGTCTACTGGAACTTTTCAACCTACATAGTGCCTGATCAGACAATGATATAGCCACTTATCAGAAACTACTAGTACCCTGAGGTCAGCCACTGCAGCATCATTTAGGGAAGGGGAGGGGAATCTTTGTTGAGTTTGTCACATGGAATAGAAATTTGTTTGGAATATGAGTTTGTCCCATATAAGGAATAAGAGTAGAGCAGATTAGGTCTGGCCCATGATACAAGAGTAGATGCCAATAAATACATTGCTTGTGTTGTATCGTCATCACAATTAATAAAAGAAACGTAGCCACGTAAATCTTGCTTTCCTTACTTTCCTATCATTGTTATTGTTAATAACAACAATCTTTAACAGCTTAAACTAGTTTTTCACACTGCTGATACAATTTTGGGTTTTCCGGGATCCAAACACGAATTCGATGCAAATATATCATTTTTAGCGCAGATACAGCAGACATCTTAGAAGAATAAAAAGAGGAACTGTTTCAATCTCAATTCTAGTTTTCCATCACAATTTTGTCGCTAGAGTCACCACTAAAATTCAATATTTTAAAAATCAGGAAAAGATCGTGTGGCATAAGTGCATAACTATAATTATAATTATAATTTACTTAAACATACGAGTTGAGCAGAAGAAGAAATTAAGAGAAATGTAGCGGGAAATGGGTTTGATCTCTCAATTTAGCGGTAGGTTAGGTAATTACCAAGATAGCAGGTTTGACGACGAGGAGGCAGGTGAGTTTGCCGGGGTGGATGTGTTGGACTTTGAGGATGCCGCGAGTGAGGTGAGAGAAAGAGTCCTTGGCTTGGTATTCAGAGGGAAAGCTAGTCCAGTAAACTCCCATGGAGCGCAAGAAGCCATCGAGATGATGGAGGGAACTTGGGGATAAATCTGCGGAGATTTTTGTGGTAGTGCTATTGAGGATTCTCGGGGTAGTGGCCATGGCGTCTTTGCCTCCCATCTCTTTGGATTTTGCTTCGGTCCTTCCCAATTTCCACTTTCCACCACAATGTCACTGATTGATTGTTGGAGTAGAAAGGCGAAAGGCGAAAGCGATCCCACCGCCACTCAACATTATGTAAGTGGCTTATTTGTACCAATCAATATGTTGGGCTGTTACTCACAAAATAAATGTGCCGTGCAAAATTATAAATGACCGTGTCCGCCGTCGGGGCAAATTTTTATGAGTAGTTATATTGTGCATCCGTATGCACCATGCACAACGACGTCGTTTTATTAAAAACGCGCGTCTCCCCTAAAAAAAAAAATTCAAGTTCGATTCCCAGCAACAACATTATGTTGTTCATTCATTCTAGAATTTTAATTCATAGATTATGGAATTTTAGTTTATCGATTCTGGAATTATAGTTCATCGATTCTGGAATTGTAGTTCATCGATTCTGAAATTTTAGTTCATAGATTCTGAAATTTTAGTTCATTCATTCTGGAATTTTTAGTTCATAGATTAGATTCTGGAATTTTAGTTCATAGATTCTGGAATTATAGTTCATCGATTCTGGAATTTCAGTTCATATATTATTGCTGGGAATTGAACCTGAATTTTTTTTAAAAGGGAGACACGCGTTTTTAATAAAACGACGTCGTTTTTGCATTCGTATGCACCATGCATGGTGCATGGTGCATACGGATGCACAACATAATTTGCCAATTTTTATGTATACTATGGTCTATGCAATAACAACTCGTCATAGGACCAAGTGGTCAACTAAACGACAAATTTCTGTGGACCATAGTTCATGTAGCAGTATAGACTAAACAAAAACGACGTCGTATCTTTTTAATTACACTTTAGTTTTATTGATCATCAACTGGTGCTTCCATTCTTTAACTTTGTTGAGATATGTGAAACATCTCAACTTGCTGCCATTTCTTCTATTTCATTTGTTGAGTACCTACAAGAGTTGGAATTTGAGTAGTAGGGGTTTCAAC